GCACATTTTGAGAATGTAACATACGATTCTTTTCATGCAGGTAAAAATCCATCCTCGTACTCTATTTAATACAAAGATTAACTATAATTAGCTACTAACCAGGGCCGCACTAATAGTAGCGGAAGGACAAACGTGCAGAATCTCGATAGGTCTTATTATACTGAGACTGGGGAAAGACAAGGGCACCGACATCGCAAATACACCATGGTTCTGCCTGCTAGCAATATGAGGCCGCCACTTCAATTACGAAATGAAATAAAGGTTCCAGATTCTGCACAGTCAGTTCGGTTCGCTGTAGAAGGAAACATTGACGGCTTGAAGTTACTTTTTAGCCAAGGACTCGCTTCTCCGACAGCCGTGAGCAATACTCGGGAATTTAGTTTAGTAAGAGTAGGTCTCATCACCTTCCGGCTATTAATTACCACGTTGCCGAAATGTTACTAAGCACAATATTAGTGGGCACTCTACGGCGGAATGCACAATTTTGAGACCGTGAAGTTCCTCCTTAATCATGGGGCGTTCGTTGATGATGAGTAGGCACCAAAGTTCGCTGTCTTAATAAGACTACTATTAGTAACCGATTTTCAGGTCATATCATCATGTATGGGATTATGCATATCGCCATAAATGTACCATTAGGGAGCTAAACGAGCTTCGTTGCATTACAATGAACCCTCCGGACAAGTACGAACATGCGGATTGGTTCGAAGAACAACAATTTCCCTTGGTCCATAAAATTATCTTAGGGCGGTCATCTAAGCTGCTTAAGGATGAGCTCGATAGCAATCCAGATGCTATACGAAGCAAAGATGCTATGGGCCGAACTGCGCTTGACTGGGCCACAGCCCTGTCACAGCTCGCTCATATGAGGCTATTGATAGATCGCGGTTCCCCGGTGGACACGATGGATATCGATGGGCGCACTACAATTCTACATGCGGTGGACAGTCATAATAATGAGGTACTCCGCATTCTCCTCGAGGCTGGGGCAAGTCCTAATCCTAAGGTGCCAAAAGACTTGTTTCGCAGCAGCCCACTCATTTCGGCCACCTTTGGCGGTCTGATAGGGATGGTAGAGCTGCTTATCAAATTTGGCGCCGAAATCAATCATCGCAATCCAGAGGGTCGTACCGCGTTGCAGACTGTTGCTAGCATGCAGACTGTCGAGTTTGCGGAAATGCTACTCAACCATGGCGCCGACTTGAGCTATGTAGCGAATAACGGACACTCACCATTTACTACGGCAATAACGTTTAACAACCACGCCGTGCTACGACACTTCCTTGAACGATGCGATAGCAGCCAGTTGTCAGGCCTACAGCTACTGCCCATCGTGGCCGAGTGGGCGGACGTGACGACGATGACGATACTCGCGTCATCAGATATTCTGAAGCACACCCTTGCAGATAGGGCAGATTTTATTACCAGCATTAACACTCTTCTATTGCGAACAGATTATGATAAAGCGCTAGACGACGCGTTTCAGAAGTTCTCCTGCCAGAACCGATACACGATCGGACCATCTTGATTGGTTTTTGAACTCATGAAGATTTCCCTAAGCCTAGAAATTTTAAAATGTAGGAGACCATTCCCTGGCCGTTAAAATTAATCTTACGTACTCTATTACTCAACGCTCCAACTAGCTCTTTACATGAACCTGGTTATACTCATACTCGATGGGACTTTGATTAGGCTTCCTAGTTGTGATGCGGTCCTGGTCGGATTATCGTGGGCGTGAATTGGAGACATCGTCTACCTCTGCCTAGCAAGACGACCTGCCCGTCGATCAGGACGCTGCTCGGCTCTTGACCAAGGGTGAACTAAAGTCCCGACAGTATAATATCGCGAAGTGATGCTCTATCATAACGATACCTATAAGATGCTGGACGCGTAGATATTGCCGAGTGCTAGGGGTTTACAGGATCCGTGTTAGAGCCACGCTATAGGCTGGTACAGCTTTGCCATCGCCTATTGGCTATCGATTCTAGCCTGCTTAAAAGGCGCTTTCCGTTCTTTGCAGAATGGATTTGGGTGTTTTGTCTACACCATATACGCATCCGAGTTGGCTATAAAGTCCGTGACAGTGGAGACTAATGTCAGAGAGATAACGGTTTTTGACCAAGATCGTAACAGCCATCTATAGATAGTTTACCTTCTATAACCGCTCCTTCATTAAGATCTCTTTCATTATACTGTAATGGTAATAATTCTGTTGAACCCAGCGTGGTTAGGAGTAACCTCTAGCTGCATATGGTTGCTCTTCTCTCCGCGCTCTTCTACTTTTGTTTTTCACGGACCAGTGAGCCCAACACTATGAAGATATCTTGCCTGTTCTGTATCACCTCTGCTATTAGCGCCGTAGCTTTGAGTTGGTATACTCTGAACGACCGTCAGAAGCACCCCCATAACGATCCTTTTCAAAATTTAACGATTCTCGCGTGGTCCCTTTGACTTACGGGCTCATCTGGCGCATCCTGCGAAGTAGCTTCCCCATATTATTAAATCCCGAGTCTAATAAATTACAGGCCTCAACACTTCACGTTCACGTTCGCGCTCTCCGCCTCGCTCGTCCATCGTCACATTCGCGTCGGTTGCTTCCCTCTTTCTCGCCACGCGGACTTCTCTCGCGCTCGCGGTGTCGGCTGGACTTGCTATCACGGCGATCTCGTCGGCTGGCACAACCTTCGTTGCGCTCATCTTGAGAGCCTACTATCCCGATCGATAATAATGGGAAGATCGAGCAGACAAGTGCGCGCCACATGACTAGAACACTAGAATTCATGGCGCCCGAGGTCTTGAAAGGCGGGTTTGATAAGGCGACACACGACCTGGAGGGAAGTCTCCGGCGGTCAATCCAGTAAGCGCGTGGTACACAGGTAATAACCGGGTGGACGAGTGGAAGAGAATTACACTGCGCTACCTGCCAGTGTCGCATAATGAATCCACGTAGCATTTAATCTATATTCGTGGTAGCACCGGTTCCAGGCAAAACGATTATCACGCGTCCATAATGTAACACATTCGTGCGTGGAGTCGGCACAACACCCGGAGTACCTGTAAGAAGTGATGCACCCAACGGACATAGTTCTATCGGCGACCTGTAAGTATTGGTGCCCCCTCTCTCGATCCGAAAAGAAAGAAAAGTCGGAGAATCGTTTCAAAGCTAGAACGCCTCCAGCCGCAGCAGGAATGTGCGAGCACAACGGGACCACGGCGCAATCGTGAATTTTTACATGTGTACCAACCCCCGGCTCGTATTTCTTTTTTCGAGAAAAAGACACGACCAACCGGGGTTCGCAGAACCCACCGATTACCGATGTGTCTGTGGGCATAGGATGCATCTAGTTAACGAAGAGAATGCCAGCCATAGCCATGAAAACATAGGTCTCCTCTTCAAATCTTTGCCCTTAATTGGACCCACAGTTGGATCCATAACATTAATAGCAAATTCATCGCTTTTTCTCCTTAAGGAGACAATTATCATCCATTATCACCACCACCAGGACACAGAGCTCTTCAATTCCTCTTCCAATTTTGGCCTTAAGTTGGGTAGTATTCAATTATATATTGGGGGTTATTACGCGACTGTAAGACTGCCAACTTTGATAGACGGTGGCAAGATGGCCATGGACATGATGGGAGAGAGAGAAGCGAAGTTTGATTGACTATGGGCTTTGCGAACCTGCTGCTATGGAACCTGCTGCTATGCGTTCAATTTTTTTCGAAGAAGAGCGTACTCCGATACCGTTTAGAGCTTCGTGGGCCCCATTGTATAGCGCAGGACATTTATCTGATAACCAACGAAGTTCTCCAGACAGAATTTCCACGAGAGCAGTGGTTGTGATTTTCAGCTGTTCCTCGTCCGTATTAATCGTGCGATCTGGTCGGTTCTCTAGTAGTAAAGATTCAAAGTCTTATACACGGTGCTTCGGATCTTTCCGACTCCGAGTTTTGGGATGAGAGTGAAGTAGACGCAGCCTCTAGTCCAGCCGTGGCAGTAGCGTTTAGTGAGAACACTAGCTGGTTGGCTCGCTATGCAATCTCATCATGCCCCAACGTCCAATGCATTGCTTTAGCAGAGCGCCACGGAACACCCATCTCCGGTGCAATCTTCTGAGGCTTC